TACCGGAGTGCCAGGTGCTTGAGATTGCGCTTGCTGTGCTCGTGCGACGTCATTTTGCAGGGATGTACGTTCTGCCGTCAGCGCCGCGATTTCTTCAGAGCTTTCGCGAAGTTGCTGCAGCAGTTCGTTCAAATGCTCCTGCGTGAGAGTGGTAACGTCGATGTGCTCGGCCGTTGCGAAGGGCGTCAGCTCGGCTTAGTCTAGGCGCAGTCGTGGCTGCACGCGTTTACGAGAGAACGCGAGGACAGCGGCTCCTAGGGGCTAAGGTGCGTGAGTCCCTTCGAGTGAAAAAACAAAAGTTGATTTCCTGGGGTGCGGAGATGCGCGATCCAAAAAGAAAGAGGCTATGAATACCAAGTGTTACGGGTGCAATGAATCGAGGTAGCGAGGATTGCACTAAGGTGTCAAACGAGTACAAAATGTGAGCGAAGGCATGAGCGAACATTTATACGCGAAACATGCAAACGGTAACGCGGTGCGTGCGAGCTAGCTAGTGCTACGCTGGCAACGAGGCTCGGGCTAGTCCCGAAGCGTAGGCCGACACGGTCGGGCCAGGAGTGCGAGGTTTGGTGAAGCAGTGCGCGCGAAGTCAGCGAAGCCCGTTAGCAGTAACGGGCGAACAACGGCTGCTGCTGTACGCGATGTTGCAGGGCGCGCTAAGGAATGTCGAGAAAATTCCTTAGATTCCCAAATTCTAGCACCAAAATGAGTTCTAGATTGAAAAATACGTTGGGGGGGAACCCTTGCGAGGTTACCCCATTATGGCGTGAGTTCTAGATTTTGTCGCTACCCAACTCGAAACATAAGGCTGCCCTGGGTGATACGTCAGGATATCCCTCGCGAGGTTACACCATTATGTCGCTCAAGAACCCAAATGAAATCATAGGGGGAACAACGACAATCGCGAACATCCAGGTAATAGTACACTTTCAAACATCAAAACTAATAATTTATGGTTACAAGCATGTTATAGTTCTAACAGAACGTCAGTAGTCCAATGGGGGCTATGCATGAAATATTATCACTGACACCCTAAGGACGTGTCTCGGTTCGCCTCTGGTTGGATGTGATCTGGTCGGGGCTGATCTGATCGGGTTGCCTTTGTTTAAATAACTCGCACCGCCCGACCAGCTAAAATTTTCCTCGAATATTTCACGAGGGTACGTGGCAAGCGTCCATGTCGAACAATTCGCCAGCGTGCTTAGTAACCCAATCAAATGCAAACAGGTGATAGTCGGTGATTGTGTGGGATTGTTTTCGATTGCAAAGTTTTAGGCGGTTGATCGTGTTGGGGCGATCAGCTGATCGCGATCAAGTAATTGCCCCCGATTGCATGAAATTGCCTCCATACCTTCCTGGAAGTTATTGATCGCGTCTGATCGAGGCAACCAAAGGCGAACTGAGACACGTCCTAACGCTCTATACTGTTGCCTCAATTTGCGAGGGCTCACATATCTATGCTTTGCTTTTAAGTTCTACGATGAGTATTGACATGGTTGTCAAATGTCCATTGGAGATCCCCGATCGATCCTAGGGAAGGGTTACAGGCACGTTGGCCTGGGGGGTTATGGGCGCACTCACCCCTACACAAACAAGTCATTTTGTCCCAATGGTTAGTGGCTGGGATTTTGACTTGGTATCAGAGCGAAGGTCTCGGGTTTGAATCCCAGTGTGTGCACCTCGGGCATCCCAGTGCGGTTGGGTGTCAGAGGTCCACTGGAGATCCCCGATTGATCCTAGGGAAGGGTTACAAGCACGTTGGCGTTTAATCGCCAAATACAAGGTTACCCCGTGCTGAAACATTACCATGCTGACCCCGGGCTTTAACGAAGCTTACATTACTTGCTTACGTACCTAAGAAAAGTTTCACTCGCAAGTAGGTAAGTACATTACACTTGCACAATACACGACTCACTACTAATCTAGCAAAAGTACACGCAAGTAGGCTTGCAATGGAGAACAAGAACCGAGTGCACAGAATGCCCCTTGTCATCCTTCCACGTGATGCTGCCATACTTGAAGTTCTTGAACCTCCTCCTCACCACAACCTTCACTTTGAAACCGACACGTTGCCCCAGTGCAATGGTAAACTGCGATGGCACCACCCTCACTCTTACTGCCTTGGGGGCCTTGATCCTCACCCTGTAGGTCGATGTGGTGTTTGAGACGCTCATCACAGTCCGCCTAGCTGAAAGTTTATACACTATGTTGACCAGCAAGATAGAAGGCTGGTTAGGTGTCTGGCTGCAACAGGTTTCATCTGCACCTTCCCGAATGTCTCTCGGGCCATCGTAATATTTAGCCCGGCAAGGAAGTTGCGGAAATCTTGCTCCCTGGCATTAAAGGTCAACCCAGGGTCAAGGGCCCTAGCGGGAAACACATGCTTCGCTCCCATCTGCCATGGCGTTGCCGGCTTGCCATTCACATTCTAAATTACTCTGTTGTTGTTGTCAGTGCTGCCAGCTGTCGTCATTAAGGCAGACATGACCTGCGCGGGCGTCCAATCAGGATGCTGCTGGATGATCAGAGCAGCCACACCGGCAACATGAGCAGCCACCGCGGATGTTTCAGTGCAGTAAACCGAGAACAATCCCGTCTCGTCGACGGCTTTCCCGGGCGCAACCGCAAGGATGTTGACTCCCGGGGCGATGATGTCAGGCTTGAGAATGGTGTTGGAGGGGCGGGGCTTCTTCGGGCGGCAGACGGTACAGCTCCGTACGGCGAGAGGGCTGGTGGAGGACCATTTGGGAACCATGGGGAGGGAGGTGGCTGCAGGGGGGATGGTTCCCAGTAGTGTTGATATTGCTGGGTCTGTGGTGTTTGTTGGAGATTTTAACACTGATGCTGCTGCTGCTGTTGCTGTTGTTGTCGTTGTAGACGTTGGAGTGAGGGAGCCCTGGGGCACGGTACTGCATGCATGGTGGGGCAGGGAGAGTGTTGGTGAGCATGGTGGGGCAGGGAGAATGTTGGTCAGCATGGTGGGGCAGGGAGAGTATTGGTCAGCATGAGATGCAAGGAGATGGAAGAACAGGGAGGAGGTGCAAGAGGATGGAGGAGAGGAGAGCATCGAAAAAGGCATGAACCAAAGAAGAAGGGAAGGATAATGAAAAGCTGCAACGTGGGAAACAAACAACCTTCTGCACGGGAAACAAACTACCTCTGCCACTCTCTAATGAGTGATCCCCAATCTCACCTTGCCCCCACGCTGATATAGTAGAGTGCAAAGTTGTCAATCGCAGGGAAATGACCGTACAAGTAAAGGTAATAAGACCTCCCCTCATCGCCAACTGCTAAGGCTACAGTCACCCCGGCCTGTAAGAGGAGGGAGGGAGGGAGAGTCTGCTGTTTAGGTGCCACTCCTTACAGTCACTCCGGCTTGCAGGGGGGTGAGCGGGAAAACACAGGCAAGAGAAGGTGACGAAAGGGTGAGGGACAGGCCTCGGTGCAAGGAGTTGCAAGGGGTTGAAAAGGGTTGAAAGGGTTCGAGCCACAGCAACTCAGATGTGGATGAAGTGAGGGAGGGAGGGAGGGAGGGAGGGAGGGAGGGAGGGAGGGAGGGAGGGAGGGAGGGAGGGGAAGGAGGAGGAGTTAACAGAAGGACACAGAAGGTAAGAGTTGGGGGTCAGGATCAGAGAGAGGAGGAGCATAGAGATAACGAGAGAACAGAGGCAAAGGCCAAAGGAAAAGGCTAAGAGAGGGCAAAGGAAAAGAGAGGGGGCTGGCAAAGGCTGAGCGGCAAAGGCCTTTCGAAGTGGCCCAAAGAGCAGCAAGTCTGACATTGGGTGTACAATGAGACTCAAACATGACCCAGTATATACACGAGTTCTGCACCCATCCATTGGCAGAGATAGGTAGGAGTGTGATTAACAAGACATGCCTGCGTCAACCAGGGAAGCTACTCCCACCGCATGCCCCTCACGCTCCTACCGCATGCCCCTCACGCTCCCACCGCATGCCCCTCATGTCACGATAGCGTCTTAACTAGCGAACGGGTTTAACTAGTAGGCCTAGGCTTAGTAGCCTAGGCCAAGCGGGAGTCGAGAGAGTTGTGCCAAGGAGAATTGAGAATGGGTTAGGTTCACTATAGCACGCAAGGTACATATAGCAAACTAGCCAAGGTGCACCACCATATAAGCAAATATATAACTACATTAACACTAACTACAAACAGTTATATAAACTATGCAAAACATAGTTTGACACGCCCCCTGAACTATTTGCAGGTAGAAGTGTAGAACGCCCGTGGAGGTGTACACCTGGCGAAGTGGAAGACGGCAGGGAGGTGAGAGGGGGATGAGGAGAGGAGGTGAGGGGGAGCCACCCGTGGCGAACCCCTCTTAATAACCCCCTTTTACAAAGGGAGAGGTGAGAGTGGGATGAGGAGAGGAGGTGAGGGGGAGCCACCCGTGGCGAACCCCTCTTAATAACCCCCTTTTACAAAGGGAGAGGTGAGAGTGGGATGAGGAGAGGAGGTGAGGGGGAGCCACCAGTGGCGAAACCCCTCTTAGCAACCCCCAAGTCCCCACCCCCTTTCAACCACCCCAGCGTAACCTCACTCCCCCGGTCAGCCGCCCCTTAGAACCTCACCCCGGTCCCCTTATCTGCCTCCACACCCCTGCCCCACCCACGGTAGTCCCTGCAGCGGGGTCTCTGCCTATGATGGATTATACGCGTTTAGCGTATATACGCGTCTCGTATATACGCTACCGTATATACGCTAAACGCGGGAGGGGTCTGATCCAGGATACGCATTTCCAGGCAGCTAAAAAACTTTCCCGGGCAGGGCAGAAAACCCTTCTGGGAGTGCAGCAAGGGGGGTTTCTGGTGGGTTGTGTTTCTCCAAAAAAAAATTCCCCATAACAAAATTTTCCCCCATATAAAAATTATCCCCCATAGTCTACTCTACCCCCCTACTCCCCCCCTACTTCCTAGTCTACTCTACCCCCCTACTCCCCCTACTCCCCCCCTACTTCCTAGTCTACTCTACCCCCCTACTCCCTCTACTGATACTCGTCCGCCAAGACCTCCTCCTCATCTTCCTCCTCCTCCATCTCTTCCGCGATCTCGTAGCCAGCGGGGATTGGCGGCTCCACCTCATTCCCGCGCACAACTCCCGGCATAACATCATGGCGCGTGTGCCATCCACGCACAACGTTCCAGTTGTGCGTGACGTATACCAAATCCGAGCACTTAGCGGATCCGAGACGGTTCCGGCGCGCAGTGTGGACTGATTCCCACTTCGCCCATCCACGCTCACACGGAGATGCCGAGACGGGCTGCGAGAGAATCTTTACGACGAGCGACGCCATCTGCGGCGCATCCGTCCCATTCCACTGCCACCACTTAACCATGCTGTAAGTGCCCGCCTTTACCTTCTCCCTCTGTGCAATGGCTTCAGGCATCCCGAAACTCCCTTTGAGGTCAAGGAAAGACCCTAGCTGGTCCCCCAATGCGAGTAAATAGTCGCACTCATCATCCCCCTCCTTCCCCCAATTGGTGAGGAACTCCGCATGCTTGGTGAGGAACGCCTTGAACACCCTTGTGCATTCCGCATCCCCGCCGAAGATGTCCTCCTCTTGGTTGGCAGGGTTGAGGATGCGTCCCGCCACGTGCATGGCGCATGCAAGACTCCCGTCCCACCTGTCTTTCAGGATTTTGCGAATCTGCTGCTTGTCGGTGCTGGACAGCTGCTCCTCATCCGCCTCGACAATGGCCTCCACATCCTCGGTAAGTTGGAGCATAACGTCGTACATTCGCCCCATCATCCTCTTAGCTTCCCCATCCGTCTGCCGCATTGCCGTGTAGGGAACTTCATGAGCTTCACGAAGAACTCTGCGGTCTTCCACCAAGCCGCATCGAGTACCAGCGCGGCAAACCCATCCGCTGCTTTCTGTCGATCCGCATCCCCCGCCGCCCAAGCTTTCCACAGGTCGGAGAGCACCATCTGCGTAAGGGAGTTACGAAGAGCACAAAGACGGGACACCGATATATACTGGGTGCCGAAGCGAGTCCCCGCTGGCTTCAACGCCTGCTTCACGGTCCCCTCCACTAGCTCCAGCGTCCGCAAGTACCCCCGCGTCCAGTGGTGGTTGCGGGCGAACGAACTCATTTCCCCAGTCCGCTCCACCACCCTTTTCGCCCACCCAAGCTTCCCCACATCCTCCATGAGGAGATCCAGGACGTGGGTCGCACAAGGGACAATCTCGATGTGGGGCCATTCCGCAATCATCTGCCGGCAGGCAGACGCGTAGTTGGAGCCCCCGTCCATACAAAAGGCGACGATGTTCTCCGCACCCACCTCCTCCACCACGGGCTTCAGTAACCCCGCAATATAACCCCCCGTCTTCTTCTCGATGTTGCAGCCCACGCACACATGCATCACGGCGCCCGCGTCGTTAACGAGGAAGACATTCGCCTGCGGCCTCCCGGCCCTGTCCGTCATCATGTCGGACGCGACGGTTACTCCAGTCTTCTTCCAGCTTGCTTTGATGCCCACCAACCCGCTTTCGATGCCACGGCGGCATGCTTGCAGACCTGTACCGCCGATGTACTTCCGCCCTGGAGGAACATAACCGTCGCCGGCGCGGGCGACGTCCCTCATTGCGTTGACGAAGAGAGGATGGTCTACGATCTGCTCCGCGATGTGACATCCCGCAAACATCAGCGCCAGCGACTGATGTGCATCGCGCTTTTTCGCTGCTGCATCACCATCGAGATAGTCGGTTATGCGGGACCGCTTCCCGCTTGGGTGCACCGAGGCAATCGCAGCCTCAGTCGATCTACGCTTTTCCTCTGCATCAGCGGCCTTCTTCTCATACATGGACTTCATCGCGAGGCGAACATCAGCCGGTGCATTCTTGCAGAGTGACACCTCCCGGCGCTTCATGTTCTTCCATGACGTCAGGTGTTGCGCGCAACGGATGGCGGCACCAGAGAAGACAAGGGGGCAGTATTTGCATTCCTACTGCTGTGCCTTGCCCTCTTCCCGCTTTATGAGCCTGAAGTTTTTAAACACAGGGTGTTTAACGTCTGGAAGGTATTCCCGTGACGCAGTCGGAGGAACCCTCGCACTCTCCTCAGTCTGGACGGACGGCGATGTGGTAGGTGGAGAACAAGACATAGCGCGCTAGCTAGCTAGCGGGAGTTGATAACCGAATGAGATGGACATTTTGACGAGTGGCTAAATAGCATGCTGGGTGACGGGGATGAGGACACGAGTGGTTGGACTGGATAGATGATGTGTGTTTGAATGCGGTGAAGCGGAGCGATTGAATTGTGGAGACGTGCTTGCGCGACTCGACATACTTGACCATGCAATTCTGAACGTGCAAATTGTGAAGGTGGTAATCGCGACTCCAGGTCACGATTCCAATTTCCAGCCACGACAGCCACCTGACGTGCAATCTGAGATCACAGAATTGCTCGTCGTGCAATTCCGCTGCTTTTGAGCAATTCGAAAAATTTTGGGTAGGCGGGCTGCCCCGAAAAACTTTTGGGCTGCGTATAGCGTTTTCGCTAGCGTTTCGCGTATAGCGTGTACACGCTAGCGTAGAAACGCTACACGCAAAAGGTACAAAGCGTATAATCCAACATAGGTCTCTGCTGGCGGTGAAGCTGCTGGTGGTGAAGCTGCTTGCGGGGTCTCTCTGCTGGCGGTGGAGCTGCTGGCGGGGTCTCTCTGCTGGCGGTGGAGCTGCTGGCGGGGTCTCTCTGCTGGCGGTGGAGCTGCTGGCGGGGTCTCTCTGCTGGAGGTGAAGCTGCTGGCGGGGTCTCTCTGCTGGCGGTGGAGCTGCTGGCGGGGTCTCTCTGCTGGCGGTGGAGCTGCTGGCGGGGTCTCTCTGCTGGTGGTGTAACTGCTGGCGGGGTCTCTCTGCTGGCGGTGTAGCTGCTGGCGGGGTCTCTGCTGGCGGTGGAGCTGCTGGCGGGGTCTCTCTGCTGGCGGTGTAGCTGCTGGCGGGGTCTCTGCTGGCGGTGGAGCTGCTGGCGGGGTCTCTCTCCTGGCGGTGAAGCTGCTGGCGGGGTCTCTCTGCTGGCGGTGAAGCTGCTGGCGGGGTCTCTCTGCTGGCGGTGGAGCTGCTGGCGGGGATCTGCTGGCGGGGTCTCTGCTGGCGGGGATCTCTGCTGGCGGGGGTCTCTGCTGGCGAAGTCTCTGCCGGCGGGGTCTCTGCTGGCGGGGTCTCTGGTGGCGGGGGGTCTCTGCTGGCGGTGTCGCTGACGTTGTAGCTGCTGGCGGTTGGCACTGGTGCTGGTGCAGCTGATGGGGCGCGACGAGTGGGACGAGTTGCAGACGGGCTACCGGCTGGGCGGGATCTGACGGTGTGCGGGGGATGGGCTGCAGCAGCAGAGGGCGCGCGAGCGCTGGTGCGATCGCCGGTGCGCTAGCGGTCGTCGCTGGTGTGCCGCCGCCACTCCCTTCCCCCCTTCCCCCCACAGCGTTCCGCCGCCACTCCCTTCCCCCTGTCCCTCTCCACAGCGATCCGCCGCCACTCCCTTCCCCTCCTCCCTCTCCTCCCCACAGCGATCCCCGCTGCACACGCGAACAGTCGCGACGGATGGGGGTGATGAGCAGGGGGCGGGGGGAATGCGACGGGCAGAGCGACGACGGGCGAAGGAGCGGCTGGGGCGACAAAAAGCGGGGCGACGGACGGAGTCGCAGGTGCGTGGGCGAACGCGCTGGCTGGTGGCGCTCGCGGGTCCGTCGGCGGGTTCGTCGGCGGATCCGTGGGCGGGCTCGCTTGTCCGCTTGCGAGCTCGCTGGCGGGTCCGTTGGCGGGCTCGTTGGCGTGCTCGTTGGCGGGTCCGTTGGCGGAATCGTCGGCGGGTCTACGTGCAGCAGCGGGCGGGAATGGTGGGCCCATTATCTTAGGTCTACGGATCTTAATCGCTCAATACCATGTCACGATAGCGTCTTAACTAGCGAACGGGTTTAACTAGTAGGCCTAGGCTTACTAGCCTAGGCCAAGCGGGAGTCGAGAGAGTTGTGCCAAGGAGAATTGAGAATGGGTTAGGTTCACTATAGCACACAAGGTACATATAGCAAACTAGCCAAGGTGCACCACCATATAAGCAAATATATAACTACACTAACACTAACTACAAACAGTTAAATAAACTATGCAAAACATAGTTTGACACCTCACACTCCCACCGCATGCCCCTCACGCTCCCACCGCATGCCCCTCACACTCCCACCGCATGCCCCTCATACTCACCGCAAGAGCGCCGATGAAAGGCACATCGTCAAAGTAGGTGACGCTCCACTTGGCATAATCATCATCGTACATGTTCCTGTTCGCATTGTCCAGGGACAAGGTGATCACATCCACACCGTCCGCCACAGCCTGATCAATGGCTGCAAAGACGTCTGCGGCGTTAGTGACTGTGGTGCCAACGTCAAGCCAGTACACCTTGTAGATGGCCACGCCACTGATGGTGCCTCCGCCAAGCACCTCCACGCCGCTGTTGCTCGTTGCTTCTCTGAGAGTGGAGATGCATGGGACGGGCGAGGAGCGGGTATGAGGGGACAGGACAAGGGAGGAGTGTGTAGGAGGGGACACATGGGACAGGGGAGGAACCGGTATGAGGGCGATTTCCATGCCATGCACATTCACATACTCTTCTTCCCACCCCCTTGTCTGCCTAACCACTGTAAACGGAGCCATTGACGTGCTACACTACACCATGTCTCGACTGTCAGAACTTGAGCTTAGAATCGATGCATTAGTAATGAGCTTGAAGCTCCTTAACTACATCCAGGATGAGCTAGGTATGGATGCGGAGGGAATCGGGGGCAATCTCTAGGGATTGAGGGCTAACATTAACAACGATTTGCCATGGTTCAGAATGGCATGACACTCTCACTACACATCCTAGCACTCATTTAGCATCCCTGCACTACTGTCCATCCCTGCACTCACCCGGCACACCATGTGCCATGGCCATCCGAATCCCGTGGGGAGAGCGGACGGCAGACCCCGCATGGAAGACGCACCCTCTGATGATCTTGTTGTTACATGCAAAGTCGCTTGTAGTGGGACACAGACACGTGCCCGCCCACCCGGCAGGGAGTGTGCTGCTGTAGCCCTGGTGGGGGGGAGGAGGGGTGGAGGGTAGCTAAGGTAGAAAAACAAGCTCGTAAGCCTCAAACATTTTTCATAGAAAAGCTTGCGTGAATATTGAGGGTAGGATCATAAGGTGAACAGTGAGGGTGGGCCCATAAGGTGAACAGTGAGGGTGGGAGTTGAGCTTACAGTGTCGTCAAAGGAGGGGTGCTCCGGCCACACGCCCCTGTCCACAATCCCAATCACCGTGCCTTCACCGTCGCTCGGCGCTCCAGCCGGAGTGGCAGCAGTGGCAGCACGGGCGTGGGGCAGCTTGAGAGACTTGTAAGAGTCGGCAACAGTGATGGTGCGGCATGTGATGGTGCGAGAGGGCGTGACGGACGCCACGGAGGGGTGCCGCCTCATGCGCTGCACCTGCGCTGCCGTGAGGGTCATTGCGAAGTCGTTCGACGCGTGCGTGTAGCTGAGACGTCGGGAGGAACGGCGGCAGGGGACGACGAGGAAAGGAATTGCATGAGTTGTTTGGTGGTACTGTGGGTAGTATGAATGATGGAGGCGCCTTAGTGAACTTGTACGAGTGATGAGTGAGGTGGCGGTGCGGGGTGCACGAGTGATGAGTGAGCCTTGATGCCCACTCAAGTGAGCCACGAGGGCCACTCAAGTGAGCCACGAGGGCCACTCAAGTGAGCCACGAGGGCCACTCAAGTGAGCCACGAGGGCCACTCAAGTGAGCCACGAGGGCCACTCAAGTGAGCCACGAGGGCCACTCAAGTGAGCCACGAGGGCCACTCAAGTGAGCCACGAGGGCCACTCAAGTGAGCCACGAGGGCCACTCAAGTGAGCCACGAGGGCCACTCAAGTGAGCCACGAGGGCCACTCAAGTGAGCCACGAGGGCCACTCAAGTGAGCCACGAGGCCCACTCAAGTGAGCCACGAGGCCCACTCAAGTGAGCCACGAGGCCCACTCAAGTGAGCCACGAGGCCTACGAGGGGTGACGTGGTGCCTTCGTCCCTCATCCTTTGTACCTAAGCTGCCGTGAGGGTCACTGAATGGCGATTCAACGACGCTTGATGCATGAGCTGGGAAGAGAAGGTGAAAAGGAAGGCAGGGCATGAGAGGGAATGTAGCCTGGTGTTAACCATCCATCATGCTCCCATAGCTTGCTGAATCCGTTTTACACTTGTCTCAATAACCACATCTCACGCTGGGTGCCCTGCACTGCACCACCTCCTCTCACATTTGCTGCAGCAGCAGCAGCGGCGGCGGCATCAGCAGCAGCAGCAAAAGGTGCAAGGGTACAAGCATGCTCTCACCTATAGAGCATCTTCCCGCCGTCCCGCATCACGGCCTGATGCAGCAGCCGCTAGCACAAACCACAAAATGCGCACAGCAATGAAGCCCCCACCTTCCTCATTCCCCTCACCTGTGGACCATCTTCCCGGCATCCACCACCCTGTCTCTCAGCACGGCCTGCTGCATGCGCTGCAGCAGCTGCTTGAACGCCCTCACGCCCGGCAACCTCAGGTTCACCCGCGGCCGCCGCCGTGCATACCCCCTGCACCGCTGGTAGTTGTAGAAGCTGCAGCGGTGACAGGGGCACCAGAAGCAGTGCCAGCGCCATCGCTGGCTTTGTTGTCTGATGCGCCAGCGCCTGCCGTGTTGCCGTTAGGGTCGCTGTCCCAGGCGACCTTTGCTGCGTAGCCGGGGGTTCCCCCGCTGTAGGAGGCGACCGGAGGTGCGGAGCGCAGGCGGACGATGTAGAGCGCGGAGGCATGGGGGGAGGAAGCTGCGGGGGGGAGGGGGGGAGAAAGGCAAGGAGAAGAGGGAGATGGGAGGTGGGAGGTGAGAGGGGGAGGGAGCGTGTAGTCAGAAGGCATGGGGAGAGGAGGGAGGGGAGGGGGGAAGGAAGCGGGAACAGGGCGAGGAGATTAGGAGAGATAGGGGATAAGAGGCTGGAGTGAGAGGTGGAGGGAGCTTCGTAGTGGGACTTAGACGTGAGGAGCATGGGGGGTGCAGAGCTGCAGGGTATTTTGGGAACATGATGAGGTTGGGATGAGGGAAACGATATGCCTGCCTGATCACAATGTTAGAAATTTGATCGTTCAAGGTAGCGATGCATACCAAAGTGCTGTCAAATATGATGTGTGTGATCTTTCAAGTAGCGGGATACATAAAGTAAGAGAATATACGTGGGGGAGAAAGCTGTGGGAGGTGAGAAAGGGCAAGAGAAGAGAGGAGATGGGGAGATGGAAGTGAGAAGATAAAAGAGGAGGGGACAGGTGGAGGAGCGTGGGGGTTACTACGGCATCTGCGGGTTGAATGCTGGTGAGCAGGGGCGAGGGAGAGAAGAGCGGAGGAGGGGGTGGGAGTGCAGCGCTAGACGGAGGACGTATTACAAAGGCATGCACGAGACTATTCTTGAGGCGCCTCAACATTAGGATGCTACGAGATGTGGTGTGTGGTAGGGCGGGAGAGCGTTACGGGTAAAGTGAGTGTCAACGGGAGTTGTGTGTTGGACCAGTCCTCGCTTGGGCGCAGCCGACTTCGTGGTCGGGTGTGAGGAGAGCAGCCGACCTGCAGCAGTGGGCGAGCTCGTTGACGAAGAGGTTGACCTACACGGGGACCACTTCATGGGCGCCGACTTCAAGGTGGTGCCGACTTCAGGGAGGTCGACCTGGGAAGTCGACCTGCGGAGGGCGTCGACTTGGTGACGCCAACTTGGGGCAGCCGACTTGGGTGTGGTCGGCTGACAGGACTGCTGGTCGACCTGGGGGTTGGTCGACCAGGCCTGCTGGTCGACTTGGTGGTTGGTCGACCAGTCGTGATGTCGACCTGGTGGTCGACTGGACAAGGTGGTCGACGAAGGAGGGGCCGACGTCGACCTTGACAAAAGCGTTCAGGACACCGAACAGCTGGGCGTCGAGTAGCAGGGCGTCAACTTGGTGACGCCGACTTCGGGTAGCCGACTTGGGTGGTCGGCTGACAACAGCGCTGGTCGACGTGGAGCTGGTCGACCAGGAGTGACGTCAACCTGGAGCTGGTCGACCAGGGGCGTGGTTGACCTGGTGAGGTCGACGTGAGGTGGTCGTCGACTTGGGAGGTCGACGGGCACATACAGGAGCAGCTGGTCGACGTGGTTGGCCGGTCGACCAGGTTACCTGGGTGACGAGGTTCTGCGGAAGAGTGCGACGGTCGCCCAGGCGAAGTTGGCGAGTCCGACCTCGGTGGTGGTATCCCGAGGTCGACGTGGCGGATCAGGTGGAGTCGTCAGCACAAGGATGACCTGGTGTGTGCATTGTGCGGGTGACGAGGCTTAGCCCGCCAATCGTCTGCGAGCACCTGCGAAGTAGGTGCGCTGCTGTTCTGCGGGAGCAACGCTGGCACGCTATCAACCCACAGCGTTGGCACGCCGTCGACTTTGCACTGCTGGAGCGCGGTCGACCAAGTCGTGCTGGAGCGCGGTCGACCATGCTGCGCTGGCAGTCGACCGACCTGAATGCTAGCTCTGATGTAGTCTTGCTATGCCAACTTCTTGGTACCTTCTGCTGTCAACCTTTCTTAGTGAAACTCTTGTCAAATTACCCTCTGATCTAGCAAGTAGTGTGTGCACTAGGAAAACGACTTAGGAACAACGAACGCAGAGATCACACGAGCACCCGTGCCTAGCCCGTAGTACAGCTCCCGTTGTAGTAGTTATCTCCGCATGGTGCGGTGAGTGTGGAAGGCACACGACTTACCTTTCAGTCAGGCCGACGTAGTGGTCACTTACCTATTGTGTTTGTAGGCCGGCAGCTGTGCGAGTCACCGCCATGGTTGGCGTAGGTGACGCTGGTGTTGCAGACACCATGGAGGCATGGCTGGAAGGGGCAAGGAGACGCCATGAGGCGAAGGAGTTTGGCGACCTCCCGTGGGCAGTCGTCGAGGCTGGCATACATGCCGTGTGGGCGACGGAGCACCCTCCTTCTCGGCCTGCTTCTCCTCGACCGGTGAACACCGAGGGCGGTGTCAACGCGGGCGTCAACGCCGGGGGTGGCCAAGTCGGCAGTAGTGTGGGAGGCACGTCGAGGCAGCGTGGTGTGATTCATGCTGATGAAGTCGGCGGCGTTCAGGCGCGAGGGGTGAAGTCGTTGGCGGCTGCAAGCTCCTCGCAAGGCGATGTCAAAGGTCGACGAAGCGGATTGTCGCCGATGTCGGCGACCCAGGTGACACCGAGCGGGATAGCACCAAGCTATGGCTACTTCAAGTTTACGCCGGACAGGATCCTGGTCACCCCGCCGCTCGTTGGTCGACAGGACATACTAACTTGGAAGGAAGCCATTGAGCCCCAGCTGGAGATGGCCGGGCTGATAAGCTTTGCTCGAGGCACCGTGGCGGCGCCGGACGACTCAAACTTGCGTTCGGAGTTTCGCGCTGTGCAGCTGTTGACCTTCACGGTCATCTCGCGGTGCTGCTCGCCGGGCGTGCAGATCGCCTTGAAGTGGTGCCGAGAGTACCTCGACGCCGGCCACCGGGCGTGGCACTTCCTCGAGTCGACCTACCAAGTCACCGACGACTTGTTCATCGCCAGCTGGAGGGGCAGCTGACGCACCTGCGTATGGGCGACGAGCAGACGGCGACCGACTACTGCAACCGAGCTCGGCAAATTCTCGCCACCATCAGGATGGCCGGCGCGCAGTACTCGACGGCGTCGTACGTCACCCATGTTATGCAGGGACTCTCAAGCAGCTACAACCTGCTGAAGCGGCTGTCCATGGCGCCGAGCACGAGGTCGACGCTCAACGAGGACAACTTGACCTCGTACATCCTGCAGGACGAGGCGATGCAGGAGGCTGAGCGGTCCCAGGAGCTCTTGGTGCAGGCAAACTTCGCCGTCACGGTGAAGCAAGGTGGCCGACCGGGGCAGCGCGGACAGTCTGGCGGCGGTGGTAGCAGTGGCTGGAAGCCGGCCAAGGAAGTCGACAAGAAGAAGTCGACCAAGGACAGGGGTCGCGGAGGAGGAGGTCGACGTCGGGAGTGCTGGCTGTGCGGCGACCCCGACCACCTCTCCTTCGAGTGCCCCGACCGCAGTGACTCCGACGACGATGACGCGAAGGGAGGCCGCGGCAGGTCTAGAAGCCGTTGGCCTCGTCGAGGAGGGAACAAGCCGCGCAAGGAGACGAAGTCGACCAAGTCGACCTCGGCGAAGGACGCTGACTCCTCTGCTGGCGGCAAGGCGTGGGACGACAAGACGACGTCGTGCTCGCTGGTCGGCGTCGTGGAGCCGACCGTCTCGCTGGCGCCAGAGGTCGGCGAGGACTTCCAGGCGGTGGCGGCAGCTGTGCAGGCAAACCCGGCAGTGGTCCTGCTCGACAGCGGCTGCTCCCACCACCTGATGGTGACGAGGGAGGTCTTCGTCGACCTGCAGCCGAGCGGCGACATCAAGCATGTACGTGGCTTCAATGGGGCGCTGTAGGACGTCCAGGGCCGCGGCACCGTCGCCGTGCAAGGGGAGGCCGGAAAGCAGGTGCTCATCCCCGACGTGCTCTACGTCCCGGGTGTGCGGGCGAACCTACTTTCGGCCGGCCAGCTGAAGGAGAACGGCGTGAAGCTGAAGGAGGACGGCGACGGGAGACATCCTCAGTCGGGCGTCCTACACTGGGCGAGTCCTCTGCACCGACTTGCGTCCCTGCTCACCGAGGTCGACGTCGCCCACGACTGAGGTCGTGGCCCTGCGGGCGATCGTCTCGACAATGAAGTCGTCGCCGGACAGGATGCATGCGAGGCTTGCGCACGTCGGCATGGACACCATACGGAGCTCGGCGAAGCACGAGGTCGCCACTAGGCTAGATCTCAAGTCAGCGACGGACGCCGACTCACCGTATGTCTCGTACGTCGGCGGGAAGCTGGCGCGGCACACCTTTCCCGACCAAGGCTCCGACGCCGACGACGTGCTGGCCGTCGTGCACATCGACCTGTGTGGGCCATTCCGGGTGGCTGCCAAGGATGGCAGCCTGTACTTCTTGCTGCTGAAGGACCGCAAGACCCGCTACGTGTGGGTGAGGCCGGTCGTCAAGAAGTCGGACGTGCTGCTCGAGTTCCAGAAGTGGCTGGTGCTGGTGGAGCGGCAGGTGAAGAAGTCGGTGCTGATGCTTCGCTCCGACCGAGGGGCGGAGTTCCTCGGACGGGCGTTCACCGACTTTGTGGACGACAAGGGGATCGTCCACGACCTGACCTGCTTGTACACCCCTCAGCAGAACGGCATGGCGGAGCGGGAGATGCGGACGGTGGTGGAGTCGGTGCGGACGATGCTGCTGCACATGGGCGTGCAGCACCACTGGTGGCACCTCGCTCTGCGGCAGGCCATCTAGGTCCACAACTGCCTTGAGAGGTCGACGCTGCCGCCGGGAACAAAGCCGTACCAGCTGCTCACCGGGCAGAAGCCCGACCTGACGCTAGCACGGGTGTGGGGCTGCATGGCACAGTTCTTGGTCCCCGAGCAGCAGCGTGGCGGAAAGCTGAAGCCGAAGGCCAAGTGGGGCCTTCACCTCGGTGTGTCGGCGGAGAGCAAGCGTTGGGAGCCCCTCGACATGGCCGACACCTGGGTGGTCACCACGTCGGACGTGGTGTTCTACGAGGAAATGT